TCTGATGCATAAATAGTACTTTGTTGGCGTGTTTTGAATAAATGAGAAGTTCACGCAGGTCATACGGTACTGTTTAATTTCTTGACCGTGCTTCTCCGCATTTGTCTCCTGGTTCTGCTGTTAAGGACTGGGACAGTTACACGCTAGAAAGACTCATCGTGAAGCCCATGCCAAGAGCAGCCTTCCACCAGGAGGAAGCATTCCATGGTTGTCTCCACGGGGCGAGCTCAGGCTCACAGGGGAAACTCATAGATCTGATCCCTCCCGCTGAAAGGCCTCCCAAAGATTTCTCTAGCTTCTGCAGAGCATCTTCCAAAGTCCCTCTGCGAAATGGCTTAAGTTTAGAAGAGACCACAAATTAAGCTTCTCAGTCATTTTATAAGGTTTATGTAAATATTACCAGTTTTTAGTTTCTGTGTCTCCTGGCTAAATGGATACAGAGGAGGAAGGAGCCACAAGGCGTGAGAAGCTCAGGTCCCTGAACAAATGCATGGAGCAGAGTCCACTCTCTTGGCCCCCATGGCCATCTTCCACGGGAGAAATGTCTGGGTGAGGAAGAAACCGTTGTCCTGTTAGGGCACTGAGTGGTGAGCCTACCTCAATTAACACAAGAGTGTATCTTTTTAAAAAAAAATTTGTTTTTAACGTTTATTCATCTTGGAGAAACAGAGAGAGAGAGAGAGACAGAGGATGAGTGGGGAAGGGGTAGAGAGAGGGAGACACAGAATCCGCAGCGGGCTCCAGGCTCCGAGCCGTCAGCACAGAGCCCGACGCGGGGCTTGAACTCACGGACCGCGAGATCATGACCCGAGCCGAAGTCGGACGCTCAAACGACTGAGCCACCCAGGTGCCCCCACAAGAGGATCTGTGAGATACAGTCTTAGAAGGAGGGTTGCTGGGTCATTTGAGAGTTAGATGTTGCCCAACCACGTTGTAAGTTGCTGCAACAATGAAATTCCTACCAATGGTATGAAAAGTGTCTGCCTTCCCATAAAGTATATTACCCAACTTTTGGAGCCCTTCCGATCTAGGAGGAAGAAAAAACCCCTTTGTGTTTAGCTTGCATTTCTTTAATACACACGTGGGTGCTTCCTGTAATTTGTGTATATATCAATTATTTTTCCTTTTCACATTAGTTTGTAATAAAGCTTTATATGGTACAGAAGTGAGCCTTTAGCTGGTCAAATGTGCTGTAAATTTCTATTGAATTATTTTTTTTTCCACACAGATGATTCTATTTTTTGTCCTTCAATGCAGTGAAATGCGTCATTATCTTTATGTTTTCTGGGTAATGCCTTCCCCAACGTAAAAATATCTAAATATGCAGCTATGTTTTATTTCGGTGCACTTATAGTTTCATTAAAAAAAATCCTCAAATATTTCTTCCATATCAGTTTATTTTGATATAAGGGGTAAGGTCAGAATCCAGCCTTTTCTCCTCAGTGGTCGTCTCACTGTCACAAATACTTAATCCATCATTTTCCCCCTGAACAAAAAAAAAGCAACATTTATCATGTCATAAGTTGCCATATTTATTTTTGTTCGTTTCTAAACTCTATTGTCTTCTATTGATCTGCCTGTTGCGAAACAGTATAATCCTCTTTTTTTTTTTTCAACGTTTTTTATTTATTTTTGGGACAGAGAGAGACAGAGCATGAACGGGGGAGGGGAAGAGAGAGAGGGAGACACAGAATCGGAAACAGGCTCCAGGCTCCGAGCCATCAGCCCAGAGCCCGACGCGGGGCTCGAACTCACGGACCGCTAGATCGTGACCTGGCTGAAGTCGGACGCTTAACCGACTGCGCCACCCAGGCGCCCCAGTATAATCCTCTTTTAATTGCTGTAGTTGCCTGGCATTTTAATAAATGGAGAGGGGCTCTCTCCACTTGACCTCTTTTTCAGATTTCCCCTGCCTACTCTCACGTAGTTATTTGTCTAGACGATGCTTAGATCAACTTAGGGGTATCACAAAAACAAATCCTGTTGGTGTGTTTTCTGGAATCACATTCAGCTCACAGATCATTAACAACATAATTGACATCTGTGTATTACTGATTCTTCTTATTCAGGAAAAAAATATAGACTTTTATATCTATTCCTAACTCCTCTTCTTTCCCAACTGAGATTCCAACATCTGGGATTACAATCATTCCCGTGGATACTGTACTAATTGGTTTCCTATCAGTTCTGTAACAAACGACCATAAACTTAGTTGCTTAAACAACTCAGGTTTATTACCTGACATTTCTGGAGGTCAGAAGTCTGAAATGGGTCTCACTGGGTTTAAATCAAGGCATCAGCAGGGTCGTATTCCTTTCTAGGGTTCTAGGGAGAATCTGTGTCCTTGCCTTTTCCAGCTCTCAGAGGCTGCCTTCGTCCCTTGGCTGGTGGCCCTTCCTTCACCTTCAAAGCCAGCAAGGTTGCATCTCTCGACTATTCCTCCATAGTCCTCTCTTTCTCTGACTCAGCGGTAGCTGGGAAAGTGTCTCTGCCTTTCAGCAGCCATGTGATTAGCTTGGGCCCTCCCAGCTAATCCAGGATAATCTCGCTATGCGCAGGACCTTGACTGCTCACATCTGCAAAGATGTTGGGGCCTGTGAGGTAACACTGGCAGGCTCCGGGGACTAGGACACGGCCCTCTTTGGGAGTGCAGTATTCTGCCTACTGCAGATGTACTCTCAATGGCCATGTCCCTCTCTACCATCCCTGAACTCAACTAGAAGATCCTAACTCTAGTGAGAGGAGAGTGGATTAAGGGCTAGGAAATTTAAAGTACAAAATGGCATGGTTTGCTTTGGCCGTGTTTGGCTGCCGGGATGTTTGCTGTGCAAGTCAAGCTCCCAGCTACTAGCCTCAGATGGACCGTTTGGGCTGCCCTGTCATCTTGCAACACCGCTGGTCCACCAGCTTCCCTCTCTTCCCCTCTTTGCCTCTTTCCTCAAACCTCCTGGACCTCCTTCCCATCCTGGCTCCCAGCAGATGAAATTGCTTCCTATTTCGCTGACGATGGAGAGGCAGTCTCGGCTGAATCCACATGTTTGCCCACTGGCTTCTAATCTGGCTGCATCTGCGCTCATATAACTGATGTCCCCTTATCATTACAGCTCGAGAGGACGTCAGGCTCTGCTGGTGCTCTGATCCCACTCCTACAGTCCACTCTAGGAAGCCACCTCAGCAACTTCCCAACCCCCACTCCTCAAGTCTTCCCCTTCTACGGTGAGTCCCAGCAGCCGATGAATACGTCAGATTATCATTCACCTGAGCCCTGGAAACACTAGTTTCACAGAGGAAGAGGGGTCCCCAAACAGATACCCACAAACAAATCCCTAAATCATTCTAAAGTGACAGAGAACAGAAGTATGAGCTTGAGTATATTTCCATTTCATTATACCCACTATCTCATTAGGTTTGCTGTCATTTATTTAGGGTCTAGGCCACGGCCACTGTATTTATTTTCTTGAATAAATTATTCACACTGTGAATTGACCCTGTTTAAAACCTCCACTTGGGGGTTTGCATGGACCCAAGTTGCCACCCTCAGACCAGAGCTGCCATCACAGCTCTCAGCACTGGCCCTGTATCTGAAGGATCTGGGTAAACATTCGATGTCTATAATCATGTGCCCCAAACAAATGCTTCAGAGCTCTTGGGTGAGGTCTGTTTCTCTCCTCCCAGGCACACGATTCCTTCTCTCCTCCATAAGTAAATTACTTGTAAATCATTAGTTCCTACTTTGATAGAAAATAAAAAAACTAAGTCCTATAGCTCAAACATCTTTGAACATCTCAATAGAGCAAATATTTCCCTGAAGAGGCTGGGAACTACATAGTCTCAGAAGCAAGTAATGGAGGGTTGCCTGGGTGGCTCCGTCTGTTAAGCGTCTGACTTGGGCTCATGTCATGATCTCACGGTTTGTGAGTTCAAGTCTTACGCCGGGCTCTGTGCTGACAGCTCAGAGCCTGGAGCCTGCTGCAGATTCTGTGTCTCCCTCTCTGTCAGTCGCTCCCCACTCATGCTCTGTCTCTGTCTCTCTCTCTCTCTTGCTCTCAAAAATAAACATTGAAAAAAAATTAAAAAAAAAAAAGAAACAAGTAACAGAGATAGCTTCTAGCAGACAATTTTTATAAAACTGTTTGGTAAAGGTTATTTATTTAGTGGACTCTTTAAAAAGCAGGAACAAAGAGGGACATCAAATTAACTGGAGTTAAAAACAAAGCTACAAAAGAATGTTTGTTCCATGATATCTTATCTGATATGTATCCAATCTGAGTGTCACAGAACTTTTTTGAGCCATCATTCCCTTTGCTACAATTGGGTTTGCCAACAACATTTCTAAGTTGTTCTAGAAACTGAAAGAACAACAAATCACCTTTCTGTTGCACGCTTTTACAGATTAGGAAGTATCCTTATGGAAGATAGGAAACATTCAGAAACAGAATTGACAGATGAAAGGATTTCAGATACACGCTTCTCATCTTTACCAGAATCAGGACCTGTATTTGTCAAAACTTCAGATACACCAGGTGAAAGATGGTAAAAATGACTTAACGTGAGTAGAATCCCTGATTCTGGGTTAGCATAAGGTCAAATGACGAGTTTAATAGATTGTGAAAACATTCTTTTCAACTGATTATTTTGATATCACGTTGCTACCCACACGGTCTTAGTTCGAGCCCTTGAGGTTGACCTTTCTGAAAGTTCTTTTTAATGGATTGTTCGGAAGCCATGCAGGCTGCTGAGATACACATGGCTTTCCCCTTCACTACCTCAAGCTGACCTTCCCCAAGCGGACCTTCCCTTTAAACATATTGGTTGACACGTCAACTGTCCCCCTTGAACATGTCCTTCAGGATGGACAATGATGCCAGCCAACAACCAAGAAGTTGTGGTTTCCTTCCCGTGTTAATGTTAGGTGCGAGAGGTGTTTCCAGCCTGTGGCTTTGGCGAAGCAGATGTTTGACTCTCAGCGTTTCCCGGGGGAATGGCAGGCGTGGTCTTACCTTTGGGAATGGTGATTGGACAGCTCAGGTCACAGTCCTGCTGCAACTGATAGAAAGCCACTTCCTGCAGCCGGGCCCGCTCCAGCTCAGAGAGACTCTGGATGGGAACTGATCTCAGCCGCACACTGCGGCCCGACATGCTGTTCCAGGTGAAATCACCCTGCACCAAGGGGGAAAACATCAAGAGTTAAACACAGTTCATGTATGTCTCACGAACCTCATCCTTTCTCTTAGTCGGTAATAAAGTCAAGCAAACTTCATCTCTGGGTGCCACCATCGGCTCTTCAGCCCTAAAATCAAATCTACTCTCAGTTAATCGTGAATTTTCTCAGTCAGGTGCGAATGCCAAAAATCTCTAGTATCTGCTGGGTCACTTGATCCCGTATAATGATTTACAGGTAGCCAAAGAAAACCACGGGAAAGAGACTTTAAAGGTCCTACTTCCTCTCTTTTATGGGAACACATGGGAACTTTTTCGGTCGTGTAGCTCAGTGAAAGGAAAAAGTGCCGCCAGTTGCCATCACGCACACTAGATTTGAGCAAACCGGGTTTGAACCGCACAAGTCTGCTTATACACGGATATTTTGGGGTAAATACAGTACGGTACGATAAATGTATGTTCTCTTCCTTACGATTTCCTTAATCACATTTTCTTTTCTCTAGCTTACTTTATTCTAAGAATATAGTCTGTAATACATACAACATACAAAATAGGTGCTAATAGGCTTTACGTTACTGGTAATTACAACTTCCACTCAAGTAGGCTGTTGGTAGTTAAGTTTCTGGGGAATCAAAAATTAAATGCAGATCTTTGATTGTGTTGGGGGTTGGTGCCCTAACTCCCACAATGTTCAAAGGTAAACTGTATAATACTTAACAATATAATACATTACATGAGAATACAATCTAGTATATTTATAACATATAACATATCATGCTCATATGATAAATACTTATGGTACATAATTATATGTATGATACATTGTATTAATATTACAGTAATTTACAGCGTATGTAAATACAATATAATAGAGGTGAAATTGAGCCTTACAGAAGTTAAGTAATTTTCCTCAAATCATAAAACTTATAAGATTTGGAACCAACCAGAACTCAAGCTAAAAACATGCCCTTAAACTGTCTGCTAAATCAACCATTGAGTTTCTATTTACAGCACTCTGAGTTATTTTGGTCAACAGGTACAGAAATATGATCAATCAGAACTACACATATTTCTAGACACATCTGATGTTAAAATACTCCATAGCAAAGAATCAAAGCAAAGATTCCCCCACTCCTGAGTATGTCCTTGTGTGCACATACATCCACGTGGACTGAACAGCCCTGCCCTCGGTGTGGACAGTGAGAATGTGATGGCCTAAGAGATGATACGCCACGATCCTCTGAAACCCAGTGTCCCCTTACCGAGGAGGGTTTCCCGTGAACCACAGACATCAGCCACAGCACAAGAGTTTTGAACAGGTATCTACAATTTCCTTAGCAATCAAAAAAAGTTCCAGGAGGAAGCAGCAGCGCTGGCCCCACACGCAGTGCCCAGGAGCTGTGCATGCGCAAAACACAGAAGGAATCTCTTAAGACTTTGCCATCCCCATCACTCGCCTTAAAGAAGAGAGACAAGAACGATCGTCCCCAGCAGCTACCGAAACACCTCTGTGCCCTCGTGGTAGCAAATTCCTGCCTAGAATGTTCACTCCAAGAGTGAATGGCACTATGCTAATTTGTCGATATTTTTTCCTTTGTATGTGGGGCTTCATGTATTTATTCATTCATTTTACAGATGGAGATATTATACTCTGGTCGGGGCAGACAACAAACAAGGCAAGTATAGGGTACACATATGAATTTGCATCTGGTGCATAATGGTAAAAACAGGAGCCCAGGAGGGGTTCAGGGGGCATGATGGGGGGACAGTCTGGGCACGGGAGTGAGTGAGCAAATCCAGGCAAAGTGGGTAGATTGCCATCGTTTGATGAACTGAAAAAAATTCTTCCAGGCCCAGTATATTTTGCATTTTTTCCTTCCTTCTCCGTTTTTGGTATAATTGGCCTAAGCACAAGTTTAGACAGGAGTTGAGGACTCAGGCCTTGAGTATACCTCTCACTCACAGTCTTTAAGCTTAGGGTACCATGAGGTATAATATCAGTGAATTGCTCTTTTTCCTCCCAAACGAAAGTTCCAGGTGAGTTGGCAACTTTCATTTTTTAATTTTTATGTATTTTTGAGTGAAAGAGAGAGAGCGTGAGCAGGGGAGGGGCAGAAAGAGAAAGAGAGAGAGAGAGAATGAGAGAGAGAGAGAGAGAGAGGCACAGAATCCGAAGCAGCCTCCAGGTTCCGAGCTGTCAGCACAGAGCCCGACGCAGGGCTCGAACCCACGAACCTCGAGATCATGACCTGAGCCGAAGTTGGACCCTTAACCGACTGAGCCACCCCCAGAGGAGTTGGCAACTTTTAAATATGAAGTTTAGGTATCTAAGAAAGCCCATTGCTATTTGAAGTGTCAAAATGGAATTGCATACCTATTCATTAAAAGCACTTAAGAATGTGACCTCCAGTTGGCTCAATTATCTATAGTAGGGGTTGACCATCTTTTGCTGTAAAGGGCCAGATAGTAAATTTTCAGGCTCGACAGGCCATGTGGTCTCTGTCAAACCACTCAAATACACCTTTGTGGCAGAAAGCAGCCATGGACAATTTGTAAATGAATGAGTGTGGCCGTGTTCCAATAAAACTTCATTTATAAAAACAGGTGGAAGGCTGCATTTTTCCATTGGGCTATGTAGTTCGCCAACCTCTGGACCACAGCTTATGACTGAAATAAACCAATCCCTATAATAAACATTTTATTTTTATTTGCTATGTCCTCCTGGTTAATTAATTCAAACACAATTTAAGGGGCACCTATTACATGCCGAGAATGGTACTAGGCTTGGGATAATCAAAGTGACAGCACAGTCCTTGTTCTTAAGGAGTTAAACTTCAAGGGGCGCCTGGGTGGCTCAGTCGGTTCAGCATTCGACTTCGACTCAGGTCATGATCTCACAGTTTGTGAGTTCGAGCCCCGCGTCGGGCTCTGTGCTGACAGCTCAGGGCCTGGAGCCTGCTTCGGATTCTGTGTCTCCCTCTCTCTGCCCCTCCCATGCTCACGCTCTGTCTCTCTCTGTCTCTCAATAATAAATAAATGCTTAAAAAATTTCAACTTCAATAGGAAGAGCACATACGACCCATAAAACACAGAGATTGTGATGCTGGAATTAAGTACCAGATGCAATGGGGTACCTAGGGGAAAAGGTTTGGACATCTGTCTGGGGGATCAAAGAAAGCTTTCTAGAGAAGGCGGTGTTTCAACGGAGACTCGAAAGCTGAGTAAGAGGAGTGAGAGTTTGCCCAGTAGAAATGCAACACTGGAAAAACAGTGGGTGCCAAGGCAAATGAATTCGGGACAACTAGCTTGGTTTGGGAAATTACAGGGCTGGAAGGAGGGAAATTGCAGGAGGCGAAGCCATGTAGAAGTCAGGGCCAGATCCTGGAGGGCTTTTACTGCAGGCATTGCGAGGTAGATTGGACTCTACTCAGTAGTAGGTGATGCCTAGTCATGAAGGGACCTTGAACGAGAGAGGAGCGTGATCAGATCCACATATGGGAAAAATGACTGGGAAGAAATTTCAAAAGAAAGTGAGGGAGGGAGCAAGTCAAAGATATAGAGATCAGCAAAAATGTTGGGCTAGGTATGATGCTGATTCAAATTTGAACAAGTGGAGCCACACTCTCTAAGTCTCTAAGAGAGACACCTAGAACCTAGACACCTATATTATTCTTGTGATTTTTTTCAACCATTTAAAAATGTAAATACCATTCTTCGCTAGAAGGTAGTATAAAACAACAGGCGGTGAGCTGGATTTGGCCCACGGGCTGTAGTTTGCAGACACTGGATACAAAGAGATTAGGGTCTTTTAATATGCCGCACAGATTTATTTAACATCTACTACCATGTACCAGAGACCCTGTCCTGCATCATGAGCTATATATATACATCAGCTAGATTCAGGAGGGCAAGAAACTCGCCTGGTTTATCCGCCTTGGTGTCCCCGGTGTCCAAGGCAGAACCTGGCACGTAACTGTCACCGAATAAATATTTGTCAATCCACAGACTAAATGAATCAGGTACGTCACCAGTTCAATAAGAAACTGGAAACTAACCACCCATGTAATGCTGTATCTAGGTGGGAGATGTCTTGTGGATTTGAATAAACTGCTAAGAAACAGTGTTTTGAAAGAGAGCCTGTGGATGAGCCAAAAAATGCTGGTACATGAGGACAGAAAATAAACGTAATAACATCAGACCCAAAGAAAAACAAATCCATGACACGTACACTCACCCATCAGAACTCCTATGAGCACAAGGACATGAAACACAAAGGTCGATATTGCCTTGTGATCCTCATGGGAGGTGCCCAGAAGAGGGCCACAGCCCAACAGCACGGCCTAGAATGTGCCTCTGGCTGTTCCTCAACTCTCAATTGTGCCCCAGGGCAGCATGTTTCTTTGGTGACTGTTCATCTACTAAACGGGTGACTCATTTTAAGGCTCTCTGGATCTAGTCTTCTGAGTGGTTGCCACAGGATGTTTTTTTTTCCCCCAAAATTGAAAGTGGATGATTTCAAATTTGTTTCAATACTATAAATGTAAGTGAAGTTGAAACTGACCCAATGTTTCTGGATAGCCTAAAGGCCTTGACAGTTGTAAAACTATCCTTTAAATCTGGAGCACTACTGGACGGCATCAATAAAGCATAACAATGATACAAAAAGATATAGCACAGTGGTTTTTGAGGGTGATTTTTGCCCCCCTCAGGAGACATCTGGCAATGGCGGGAAACATTTTTGGCTGTCCTAAGTCTGGGGAGGGGTTCGCTACTGGCATCTAGTGGGTGAAGGTCAGGGATCTGTTCAACATCCTACAACACCCAACACAGCCCCCCACGATAAAGAAATATCTCGCCCCATACGTTCATAGAGCAGAGGTTCAGAAACCTTGGCATAGCATACCTTAGGTCTGCTATTAGGCCCAGATTACATAGAATCTCCTTAAAACAATGGTGTCAAGAGCTATTAATAATTATTGATGAGTTTGGTTTAATATCAA